AAACCCACTTGGGGGGGGGGGGGGGGGGGCCCTCCCCACCCCCTCTAGATCCCCCCCCCCGGGGGGGGGCCCTGGAGAGATGGGGGGCTTTTTTGGGGGGGGGCGTTTTTATTTTTATTTTNAAGTACAAGAAGTTGGAGATCACACAGCTGAGGATCAAAAACAACTTCCAGTTGGCGAATAAACTATCCTGGATCAGTCCAGGATACGATCTATTATTTATCAGTGAATAATAATAAGGGGGAGGGGAGGAGAGGGGGCTTACTAACTTTCTTCACCTGAAAAAGGAGGGCTTATTAGAGTGAGGAGCGGGAGGAGGGGGGCTTATTTGAGAGGGGGGCTTAATAGATGTTTTACGGAAGCCTAATTTATTCATCGACCTCGACATCATAATCGCTTCCTGTTTTTGTTGAAGCGTAATTCCATTATTGTAGAATTGTTTAGTGTACCTCATGTCTCTATTTCTCAGCAATACGACACAAACGAAACAGTTTCCCAAGATGCAAGTGACAATTAATATGGAGTTTGCTATTGTTATGGCGACATGAGGTGGATCGGACATCTTGAAGGATATCCAAGTCGTGTTCATGTAATCTGGATGGAAATACAACAAAGACAATAACAACAAACTAATTGTATATATATATCTGTCATAGAATCATTTTGTTTGCCAACCTTAATTGATTAATTACCTTAAATAATTTAATCCAACGAAAAGCAATTGATATATTTAAAACAGCAAAGATAAGAATTAAGACACTAACAGGCTATTTCCGCTGCCGTAACCCTCTGTTTCAAAGTGAGGCTAAGTGCGAAGCGATTGATGTGAAAACTTGGGTACTTCTTAGTGTTGTGGAAACCATTGTTGGTTCACTTTTGTGACGTGGTCTGGGTATTGTTAAGTGTCTTTACAAACTTTTGTATTGCTAGTTTTTTTCAATCTTTTGTATTAATACATTTTTTTTCTCATGATAAAACTCATTTTCACAAGAAAAGTTTTGCCCTTATATTCGGCCTCGTTTTCAAAGTGAGAGTTATTGGAACTCGGAAATGGAATACTAGTTTTACTAAAACTTTTAAGGATATCTGGGTTAAGCTTAAAAGTAGTTTCTGTGTTAGGCAAAAAAGGACTGTGCTTTAAAGAAGCGAGTGTAGGCCCAGAAAACCGATTGGATTACAGGGCTATTTGTTTCCTCAAATCTTAACTATGCTCATTTTTCCTGGTGTCTTGAGTGGTCCTTGGAAGCTACTACTTGACGCTACGGTTGCACGAATTTTAAGGACTCTCGTACAGTTGTATGGGAACTTATTAAACGATTCTACAGATTCTACAGATTTTACCATTTTGCGCAGTTTTTAGTATTGTAACCTGTCTAGGTCAATTTAGGTCTTAGTTTGGCGATATTTTAGTCACCCGAAAAGCAGGGGCGGATCCAGGATTTTTCTTAGGAAGGAGTGCACCGCTAAGGAATGGCGTAACTAACTGGTGACGTAAACAAATTTTAATACAGAATACTAGTTATATTAGAAAGCCGCAGGCCATCTCGGGGGAAGGGGGGCGAACCCCCTGCACCCTCCCCCTAGATCGGCCCCTGTACAGAGGGCGGACAAGCTAAACTCTGCATAGAAAGCCTGCATAGAAAGGGACTTAAAGTGTACGTATGAGAAGCTGAGACTATTTATAACTCCCTTTTTCAATCCTTGTATCCCGACCTTATAAAATCAGTGCCAGTGAGGTTAGAAGGACAGGTGCACTTTTGACGTTTGCAGTAAACACAGGTGATTCCAACAAAGGGCAATCGGAAACGAGAACTGGCTTGCTACACAGGCTAATCGGCGAGGGGAAACCATTTTTGCCTTTTTTCTAAAGATTATTGAGAATAATTGTCTAAGTAGGACCTTTACGTTAACATACCCACTTTTAGAATTCAATAAATAAAGTTTTTCTTTCATTCACACCTAAAAATCCATGTTATCCGAGAGCAGTGAGATCACAAGTTAAATTTTCGTTTCTTCAGTTTAAAAATACACCATCATGAACACAGTCTTTGAGAGCGCGGGTTGAGCAGGTGGAATTCGATATTGTGTCGTGTGTTGCGTGTTCCTTTTATGACGCCAAAAACAAATCTAACAACACACGAATCTACTAAGCTACGAAGCATATAGAAAGACTGAATTATAATACCTGAGATACCAGATGATAGCTTTGTGATTGCTGATTTTGTCTTCACATGAAATTGCTGTCCTTATGACATGGAGGGCAGAACGGCTTCTTACTTAAGGGGCATTTTGAGATTAGTCAAGAACAATTAATTACTTGATAGTGAATAACAATTTTTGTCATTTAGGGTGACTAAAAACTTAGAAATTCGTTGAAAATTAGTTTTCTATGTACTTTTCCCCTAGATTTGAAATTAGCTTTGTAAGCAACAGTTATAGAAATATCCTCTATATCCGATTTAATAATACCTTTTTCTTACCAGCTAGAGAGAACTTCTCTGATGGACGTAATGTCTTCTTTAAGTTTCCTGCAAATTTGCCTTTGCGGGGTTGCAGTATTTTCGAAGGTAACTTGAGCAAACGCAAATTTTAGCTCTGTGTAAGTAAATATGCAGTTTCACTTAAATTCGTAGATTACACCTAATTACAATAACGTTGTCATTGAAAAATAATAAAAAAAGAGACTTGATACATGATAAATAGGAAAAAAATTAGGCACGCTCACTCACTTTTTTCAGGGATCTGGTCTGACGAAAGGAGAAAGAAGACAACGTCTTCGCGTTGGCCAATTTAACTTCTCTCAAATTAGCAACTGATGTTAAAATGAAGCATTATACCTCACTGTATAGAAAGGGTTTATAATAGAATTATGTAAACACCAAAAAATAATATGCGTGGCTGATGAATATTTCTATTTCAGCGACCTTATAGCACTGCGGAAGACCTCACGGGATTGGTTGGGAAAACAATGAACAAAAAAAGTTGACAATATAAATAATTGAACCTGGCACGAATTGCGAAAGATCTGTGACGGCTAGAGGTCCAATAAAATCAGAGGTTCTGAAGGGTCTGGCTTTTTGTTTTTTGCTTTTTTGTATGATAACGGTATTGCAGTTGGCTGTGTCCTTGAACATAACTATGCCAAGCGAAACCTTGACTTTTTACACCTGAAACAAAGACCGAAAACTTTTGCTACCTGTGGCCTGTTGAAAACTAGTCAAGGCGTGATAATTTAACAATCGCTGGGATAAAACTTGACTTGCTACACGTCGACATCACGTGTTTCTTAGCGAGCGGAGCGAGCTTTTTAAGCCGCGAAGCGGACAAGCGAGCGACGAAGTCGTGATAGGTCGTCCTTCGTCTTGCGTTATATTAAATAGGACGAAGGATAAAACATGATATTCTTGTGATTACGTGAAAGAATATGTTTTGTCTATATTTTTAATCTCTATAGATCTACACTTCGAAACGTTTTGTTGACAACTTGAGTCAAAACTCGCTCGAAGTAACACTATTCTGTTCATTATTAAGGCGCCTTGTTTGGGACTTAATTGATTCCGACAAAAATTCGAAGAACCTCGCAGATAGTCAGTACACTGCAGCCGAGAAGCAAGCCCATATTACCACCAAGTTCACCTGAAATTGTAGAAACGGACGCGATCATTTGGTATTAAAGCTTCTTTTCCCTTGTTATACGTTTTATTAATTTACAAGAATGAACGAGATAGAAACGACGTTTGTTGGCAGGGCAACTCTCAACTGTTTCGAAGGTACATCAGTCATCGTCAGTGTGACGGATATGAAAGTTTACAGCTGATAAAACGTGCCTGTTACAATGTACAGTATACATTACATTGCGTTGGAAAACAGTACGCTACATAAATTTAAAGTTAACAAAATTAATAGATGCGCGTGCACTCGTCTATAGAAAAAGCGTCAGATTGATGTGTTTGACCTGTTGATTAAGGGCAGGCTTTTCCCACTTGTATTATTAAAGTATTGGATATATTTTTATTTTTTAGTGTACTGTTGGATCTCGACAATCCCTTTAGGTGAAAATGGACGTTTAATCACATTTTTACTGCAAAAACTCTCTTTTATGCAAAACCGGTTCATTGCGATAATCGTACAACAACAACTTTACTCGTCCTTTGTACCGGAATTCGTGTTGGATTCAGAATCGGGAGGGATTTCACGATGAGTATTCCGGATTTTAAGTTCCAGATTCTAGACTCTTTGTCACTAGAGCTTAAATTCCAGATTGCAATTGTTAGAGGGATTCCTGATTCCAGAGGTCAGGATTTCTGATTCCACAATCACAAATTTCCCGGATCCTGAATTTGGATTCTCTTATATGGAGCGTACTATACGGCTGCATGCACTGGTCAGATCTTACTAGACACTCAAAGGCGAGAATCAGTATTCTTACTTTCGGCAGCGGCTTCTAATTTCCGACTGTTCTAGCAACAGTGTAACAATTTTTCTCAAACTCGCGCTTCTGATTGATATCTGAGAAAATTGGGCTCAACCAGTTTACCCTATAATGTTTTATTCATGAAAATTTTTAATTACCGTTGTACTTTATATATCTTTAGGCATTTTTGCTCAATGTATTATTGTTATTGTAATTTTTTATGTGTAAATGATGATTCCTGCATTTGTATATATTTCAAGTTATCCCTTTTAACTTATATTTCTTTTGTATAAATTTTTGACCGATTGATTTTCACGAGAGCGTACCAACGAGTTACGATTCCTAAGCTCTTTGTGTGTATTATTATATCTAATGTCTATGTCTATATATAAAGGTGTCTCCCTCTACCTTAAACCTATCTCTATCCTGTCTCCCTCTTTCTTTAATTTGTGCACAGGGCTTTCCCCTTAGAAAATGGGAAGGCGCGCCCCTTCCAGATTCAAAGAGGGAGGCCCTGTGTGAGGAAGAGGTTTAAAAAAACCATATATATTACGAAAAGAAGTGTAAACGCAACAGCAAAGTCCAGTTACTGCGGGTGATCATTATTCTGCTTCACCAACATGTTTGCCATCTCGATTCCCTGTGGCTTACGCTCGGAAGTAACAAAAGTCTTGGCTGCCAACGAACGTGAGCCACTGCCGAACATTTCTTTCATCTTCTGCCGGAATCTTTCGTTTATCAGGGCGTAAGCAAAAGGATTGACTGCAGCATTGAACATAACCATTACGTGCGCAATAGGAATTGCTAAAGGACTCAGCTTAAAGGAGCTATCCTCCAAAATGTGCAGCACAGTGTCTCCTCCCCAAGAAATTGCAAAAAAGGCGCTGACATAGACAACCATCAAGGTGACTCGCTTCCGCAACCTCAGCACAGCCTGTGTACAAAACAATGATACATTAGAACAGGCACCCAAGCTTGCAATATTGCTCATATCAGATAATTTTGAGAATATATCCAGATAAATATTTAAAATATTTAAAAAAACGTTTATGTTGTTTAATCTTTTCTTCTTACAGACCATTAACTTCTGAGTGTTACCGATAAAGGTAAGACCCCGTTTACATGGATACGGACAAATTTTTGAGAGGGAGAAAACTTTCACGGATTCGCCTTTTGTTTACACGAGACCCGCGCAACCGTGCAAGTTTTTTTACCTGATCAGAAATAGGTCAAAATTTTTGACTCGTACGGTTCCAATTTTACGCGAACTCGTGTAAACACCTAAACCGTACAAATTTAATGTTTCATTCGTTTCATTCAGTCGTGCAACGACTGTTAAGAAATGTATAAAAAAGGGTGTTGTTCGGTTTTGCTAATATAAAGCTATTGTTTTTTTTGCCGTTCTCACTGCGCCGTCGTCGTTCCTTAAGCTCCCTATTGCTGTGATCCAGAAAGTTTGCTACCATATAACGTAACGTCACACTTCTCGGGGTCCTCTCCATTGAGAGCGTTTCGCAGCCTATAGAAAGTCTAGAAAGCTTAGTACCTGTTGGTGATGTGTGACTGCATTACCACTTCGCTTGAACCACAAGGCATACACAACTCGGGCGTATAGCACAACCAACACTGCTATGAGAATGAACTTAAGGACACGAAAAGCAATATCAATGGACTCTTTAGTCTCTGTAGGCAATGAGGGAACACAGCGATGGGAAGTGGCAACATAAGTTTTCTTCGCAGATGGGAGTCTATAAATAAAAGCGATGATCCAAATACCGGGAATAATAACCTAAAACAAGTGTGTACAATGGTTAGGTCTGATTAGCCGTTACAATGTGATAATTTTGTAGCAAGGTTTTGTTTCATGGTGTAGTCACTTTTATTAAAAACTGAATCATTGGATAATGCAATCGAGGGCTCTGATTGGCTTAGCCATCATGGTATATGAGCCATTATACCATGCTCTCGAAATATGGTAACTGTACGCGTCTGCTAAAAATTAAAAACAATCTGAAAATCGGTTGTTTTACAAATAAAGTCGGGAAGAATTCTCGATATTTTGTGCGCGTTTTTAATAAAACAATGATTCCACTCGCGCTTGTTGGATATGAGATGATTATAGCCAACTCGGCGCTACGCGCCTCTTCGGCTATCATCATTTTATATCCAACGCGCACTCGTGGAATAATTGTTAAGTAGATCGCGATGTCTTACCAGGGCGAATGAAGCCGTGTCAGTGCATGTGTTGTGTAATATTTCTTCGTAAAATTAATGGCAGAGCTCTTTGGTCGCCACTTGCGGACATGTTACGTAGCCCGGTTATAACCACTTTTTTTTTTCTTTTATTCAGGTCTGATCTCTTAATTAATACTTTAATTCTAGTGACATGCAACTGGGGCTAAGAAGGTGATGCTTGGGGTTCGCGTTCTCCTGTGAGATATTGCTTATGGACTTTAGAAAAGTGATGCCATCGGTTCTTGTTTACTGTATGCGAAAGTAGTGCTATTTTTCAATGGAATTTAAACGGAAGGAATAATCTTTTCTTCAGTTTGAAGGATATCAGAGGAGCTAAGGTATTAATCGGAGCTCGGGGCGGAGCCTACTCGTATAAAAAGTTGTAAGAACCCCAGGGTGTTGCCTATGGATCGACTCCTTTTCTCAACCTGCAAGCAGAGCCTTCCTTGTTTTCTTGTGGAGAAAAGGAGACTCTGTCCAAATCGCGCAGGCCTTGGAAGTTGCTTAAGCCTGAACTTCCCAACTAGTCAATCATGTTTTCCCTCGTCACACTGGTTTTCCGAGTGCGAGCCTCCATTCGAACCTCCCGCAATAGAGAACACAAAATGCTCCAGTGATTTTAAAAATGGTCGCTACGGGTGGTGGTCGCTGATGAGAATCAACCCCACCGGTGATCTTTTCCCGGACTAGAACGGGTCCGGACGTATCTACTTAATCTTGGAATAGCATTTATTGCTGGTAGTTTTTGATTTACTATATGAATGGCTCCTTATTGTAACTAAAAGTTCCTCGTATACCCTGACTTGCGGAGTACATCAAGTATACCACAAGGCTAAAACATAGTTCAAACCATGCTCCAGGATCATTTATCGCTGCTAAAAGGTTCAGAATAGTGCAGAATTATAACATTGAATTAAAAAGTTAGCGGTCGTTGACGAGACAATGACAATCATAATTATATATTTGAATATCATAAACCTTGAGTTTGCGATTTGTAAGTTTTCCTTTGTTTCCATGGGGGTGAACCACTGCAAAGTACCTTTCAATGGCGATGACAAGCAGAGTGATCATGGAGGCACGGCCACCAACCCACGATAAGTTCGTTCCTGTCAGCGTTGTACATAATAATGTGCCAGCAAGGCCCTCAGGATGGTAAACATGGTGGCGTAAAATGATATTGGGTACCGCAAATATCGCGTAAGAGATATCCGCTGCTGCTAGGTTTACAAGTTGATAGTTGAAAGGAATCCTGCGGGATAAGGTACAGTTCACAATAAGGACGTTAATAGGCGATAAAATAAGCTGCAGCTTTCTCTGGCCGCGGGCAACATAAGACGCCAACACCCAGTTATAAATGGTACAAAATTTACGTTCACGGCTTATGGGGTGTTTACATGACACCGGGGCGACTTTCGCGCCGGACCGAGTTCACTCCCGTTCCCTCTCATGGCTCTACATTTAGTTACATGATACCACCACAAAATGTCATGCCCAAATGTCCCCCCAGCGTGATTTCACCTCGATTGTTGTACCGGGGCGAGAATCTCTCTCCGGTACGCGTGTATTTTATCAACATGAAGTGTACCCTCAAATAGCGAGATACGGAAATGACGCAGTCATCATGTAAACGCGATACAAAATTAAAAAGTCATTTTGGTATGAAACACCCCCGCGAGTTTTCTCGTGTAAACACCCGCTTATTCAACCCACGGCTAGGTCTTGCCGCGGCTTATCCTGGCCGAGGAGTTTTGGGCTGGGCTTATCCTGGCTGCGGCTTACCTTGGAGGTGAAAGTGTTTGTATAGATACACTCAAACGTTGTCCGCGGCTTGCTGAATCGTGAACAATTGCTGCGCTGTTTTCAATAGCGCTGCGCACAGATTCTAAAAATAGTCCACGTCTGAAAAGACCCCCCGCATGACTCAGGCAAACTTTGCTTCTCACTCAAAGGCTTTGTATGCGCGTTTACCTAGTGTTGAGTCAAAATATTGTTTTTTTCGCGTATTTTTATCGGGATATAGTTTCCAACAAGCGTTGCAGCTGGGAAGAATGTGAGAGGGATTCAAGGATCCCTGAAAAAGTGGTCTGAGCCACTAAATAAATGACAGAAATACGGAAAGAAAGCGAAGTATGCTGTGTTTTGTGGCAGTGATCAGGCAGCCGGGAAATGTGTTGAAAGAGGTAGATACATGACAGTGTTAAATTTATCCCATTTTCACGAATTCTCCGATTTAATTCTTCTAAAAACATAAACTGCTTCTTTAGAAATCTCAAGCGATTTCAAACATTGCCCATGGTTTGAGGTAGACTCAATCGTCGACCTTGGGCATTTTGTGAATTATATTCTCATTGTTTTCAACACCTCACCGGCGTGACGCACTGAGTCAGTTTTCAGGATATCCAGAAAAATTATCATCTAAACCTCCCTGAAACATTTGATGTTTTTTCGCAAACGCCAAGCAATTCTAAAACAGGTTTGGTCTTGTAGTGGACGAATTCCCCGAGCTTGCGCATATTCGAATCTCGAATTATATTTCCCTGGACGTTCCTAAAATTTCGAAACTGGAACGCTCCTAAAAACGCTTAATCGGCGAGCAAAACTGATCGCAAACTGTGCGCTTCCATAAAGCGTTCTTGCGACCTCTAGCAGAGATGGCCAATGTTTGTCTGAGTGTCGGTGGGGGTCACGTTTTTGTGACGTCCTCTGTGCGCAGCGCTATTATATCCCAGATCTTCATGTCCGAGAGACGCGCGCTGCAGTAGCCTTCCACGCAGACGTTCTTAGGGGTTCGTCACGCGTTCCTGCCCCACTAACGTCTGCTGATTTGAGCGGAAAAAAAACGAAGACCAATCACAGCAGACTGCCAGTTCTGGGAAGTGCACTTTGGACCTTGAGAAATTTCGCGCTTAACTTAGCTCCAGAAAAGATCAGAAAAGTCTCATAAAAGCTTATAAGCAACAACGACGGCGACGGTTACAAGAAAACTTTGTAGCGATTATATCCATCTTGTTCAATTCGTCGAATGTTGGCACTTTTTTCTGGAGTTGAATCCTAAAGACCGTATCGCAGTTCGAGAAAAGAAAAAGAAAGTCGTTTTCTTGTATTTACGTCCTCTATAGAACGTGAAATTAGGCATTTTCACGTCGTCAAGCGTGCAGTGATGCACGTGCAGAGTTGTTGTTTTGCTAAACTAAACTTAAAAAATTAAGTTGAAACGAAAAGAACAGTGTAAAATATGGCGATTTTCCTGACCGAAGCCAATCCTTTCGCATTTTCGTCGCTCCAGCCATTGTTGAAAATTACCCGAGGCACAAAAACAATGGAAAAAAACATTGTTGGAAACAATGCCAGTGAATAATGAGGACGCTCGT